TGCACGTTTTTATATATGTACTCATGCACGAATAATTCAGTTTTAGAAAATCCCATTCTTCTCGTTCAGTTTATTGAAAAAATTACAAATCACAAAATATAATTTTTTTGTGAATTAAATTTTTAATTTACATTTTCAAAAAAAAAAAAATTCTGCTAATAAAAGAGAAAATTTTCTTCTTTCTTTATTTTATATATAAATTTATATGAAAAAAAAAATTAGAAGGAAATTTCAGCAAAGAATATAAGTGATACGTTACAATTACTTCCTTTCCCAGACACGTTGTTCGTTGTAAGATGATAGCCGAACAAGATGGAATTCTTATAAGAAGCCTTACCTATCTCGAGGTGAAAAAAAAATAAGAAACATTGATCTTTCGGGCAAAAAAAAAAAAGCCAAAAAAGTGAAAAATCTTTCCCACGAAATAAATCCAATTTAAATGATCTTGAATTTGCATCAAAAGAAATTAAAATAGAAAAGAAAAGAAGTATAAAAGTTTTTATTATTTTTTTTTTTTTTGAAGTCTATTGAATGATAATGTTTTGAAAAAAGTGTGTTTGCATTGCCCGCTGGCTTGTATATAAGCTAAACTTGAAAGCATTCTTTGGTTTTTTTTTTTATTTTAATCCTCTTACACCCGCTAAATCTCTTAAACCCTTTGTCATCCATTTTTACAGTTCACAGAAGCTGCAGGTATATGTGTAATATTTTCATCTATATTGCAACCTTGCATCTCTTGAATAGAAAAATATTCTGACAAATCAATATAATTTGATTTCATTTCTATATTTATAATATAGGAAATTTTTACTAAAAGGTTTTTTTTTCCAATATTTGCTTAGGAAAATAATTATTTTAGACGGTAGAATTTTTTTTCTCAAAATTTTATTTTTGACAAATTTTCTTCTTTTGGTAAATATTCTTAAATTTCTTTTGGCAAACTTTTCTGTTTTATTTCTGTTTGACAATGAAAGAAAACTTAATTTTTTTTTCAAATAAACTACATAGAAAAAAATTTGATTCAAATACTTGATTACTTGAATATTATCAAATAAATATTTACTTGAACCAAATAATTTTTATATTTGAATGAAATAAATTTTATTTCAACCAATAATTTCTGTATTTGAAACAAATATACCATCTCAAATAATAATTATTTGAAATATTTATTTGATAATAATCAAGTAACCGATTATTTGAATCAAATAAATTTTTTTTTTCAGTGCATTAATTCTGATATTGAATTCTAGGATTGTATAATGTCGGATTGGAATTAAGGGTGTATTACTAAACAAACTTTCCACGCTTCAACGCTCGTTTCGTTGCTTATAAAACATATCCCCTATTGGTTTCTTGATGCATTAAGTAAATACAGACACGTGCATATATGCATATTTTGTCAAACCTTCATTAAAGTTGAATCTCTCCAAATCATCAATTTCCTAGAATCTCAATTTCAATCAAAGTGTTAAAAAAAAAGGATTTATTATTTTAAGGGAAGGAGTGATTAATTTTTTTCAGTTTCAATTTAAAACTTTTTTTACTTTATAGGTAATTTAAACTCTAAAATAAGATTTTTTTTTTTATGAATGAGAAAAATTCTAATTCGAAAAAGAAGTAATAAATTATTTCTCTCTTATTATATTCATTTTTTTTTACGTGAAAATAAATTACATTGAAATAAATGAAGTCAGTACAATTTTTTGTCGTTTGGAATGCACGTATGACAATGCGATTTAGAAAAAAAAAAAATGTGAAGGCAAATGCTTTTAGGAAAACGGGCGTATTCTTCGTTTTTCGAACGGGTCGACGAGGCATCGACGGGACATTTCTATTTACGAGGAATTCCCGCTATGAAACGAGAAAATCCTTTGTCACCTTTGACTTTTATGTTTCAATACACAGAAGCGGGGGGAGAGAAAAAAAAGTGATTAATGTGTTCCAAGTCCTCTTATATAGATTTTTACAATATATATATATGTGTACCGGCAACATTTGAAATTGTCGTCGTTTTTTTTTTTTGTCAAGAAATTTTATATGGGCTCAATAGAAAGAAATCAAATACGAGATGCTGAGCGACACACGAGCCTACTTCAAGGAATACACCTGAATCACGATTTCAGTAAAAAAGGTCAATTCGATAGCAAAAAAAAAAAAAAAAAAAAAAAAAGTCTCATAAACATCAATAATATCGTATTCCCCTGAAATCTTGACACTTTGAATGTATTCCAAGAAAATTCGTCATTCCGAAAATCATTACTTTATGAAAATTAACTGATTAACTTTTTTTCTTCGATGAATTCATTTTTCTTTATCTAAATTATCATTTTCTTTTGACTCAAGCTAGTTATCAAAAGTTAATGTTGAAAATTAAAATGAATTTAAAGAAAATTAATTATTACAATAGTTTAGTTAGTTAAAATTTTTAATTTAGTTTTTAAATCAAAGAAATTTTTTTTTTGAATTAAAAAAGTGTTCTCAAAAATAATAATTTTGTTGAATAAAAAAAATATTTTTTTGTCACGGCAAACTAGATTTATTTCTATATTACTCTCTAAATCTGAATTAGTAAAAATGTTTACTAATTTGAATTAGTGACTCACTGTTTGCTTCTGAATTAGTAAAATTTTACTAATTGTTAGTAAAAGTTACTAATAATTAGTAAAATTTTACTAATTCAGAAGAAAAAAGTGAGTCACTAATTCAAATTAGTAAACATTTTTACTAATTCAGATTTAGAGAGTACACTCAGAGAAATGGTATATTTGTCTCCGAGCCTACTAACTCTTTTATTTGTTGCAAATATATTTTATTTCATTTAAATAAAAAATTTATTTGTGCCAAAGAAAAATTTATTTATGACAAATAAAATTTTTAATTACGCCAAATAAATAATTTAGTAGGCTCTGTGACAAATATACGTTTATTTAATTCAAATATATTTTATTTGGTTCAAATAAATCATTTCTCTGGGTGTAACAATATTAGATTTAACAATTCCTTTCTCTACACCCAGAGAAATGTTTTATTTGAACCAAATATAATATATTTGAGTTAAATAAACGTATATTTGTCTCACAGCCTACTGTCCTATTTATTTGGCGTAAATAAAATTTTGTATTTAAATCAAATAAAAAATTATTTAAATCAAATAAAAATTTATTTAAACCAAATAAATATATATTAGGCTGTGAGGAAAAAATCATTTCTCTGAGTGTATAATTTATCGTTATTTATTTATTTTTTATTTTTCTATCCTTTTTCTTTTTTTTTAGTATAAAATTTGTTTAATTTAAAAAAATAATTGTTTGATTTAAGGAAACCTACACTCAGAGAAATAGTATATTTATCTCAGAGCCTACTAACTCATTTATTTGTTGCAAATATATTTTATTTCATTGGTATAAAAAATTTATTTAAACTAAAGAAAAATTTATTTATGCCAAATAAAATTTTTATTTACACCAAATAAATATGTTAGTAGGCTCTGTGACAAATATACGTTTATTTAATTCAAATATATTTTATTTGATTTAAATAAATCATTTCTCTGGGTGTAAATAACAGGAAGGGAGTAAAGGAAAAATGAAAGAATTTGAATATTATCACGAAAGAAATTATATTTAATTGATAAACTCTTTACAAATATGTACATATATAACAAAATATGATTAAAATTAACTTAAATAAAAAATAATAATAATAATAAACTGACCTCGTAGATGACTCACGCGCGCGCGAGAGAGATACTCAGATTCGCAGTAAGCCTGATTCATAGGTTGTTCGCCGCGCATTAATGACGCAAGGCGAAATCAGTATTCTCCGAAGTCTTGTTAACAGGGTCACGCGTTACCGGTTGACAATTTTTTTTTTTTCCAATGCATATATTTTGCGTCGATTACAAATCGACGCCTCCCGTTGATAAGATGCCCGTTCATTTGTCAGAATAATAAAATGCCAACTCGAGCTCAGTTCAGTATGAAGCTAGTTCAATTGTCAAAATAATAAAAGGCTATCTCAGTTTCAGAATAATATAATCCTATCTCGCATTAAATTCGAATTCAAGTTTTCGTAAATTAAAAAAAAAGTTTAAGTCGATCAGAATATTAATTCATACTTTTTAATGATTAATTAGTGATTAATAATTATTAATAAAATAAGAAATAGAATAAAAAACAAATAATAAAATAAATGAAAATAAAAAATATTATTAAAAAAGAAAAAAATTAATTTAGCCTTGAATTATTTATTACTAATATTATTTTTTTTATTATAATTTTTTTATTAATTTTTTTATTTTGTTAATCATTAATTAATCATTACAAACTATTAAATAATATTCCGATCGAGTTAAAAATATTCAAGTTTTCGTAAAATAAAAAATTTTTAACTCGATCGGAATATTATTTAATATTTTGTAATGATTAATTAATGATTAACAAAATAAAAAAATTAATAAAAAAATTATAATAAAAAAAATAATATTAGTAATAAATAATTCAAGGCTAAATTAATTTTTTTCTTTTTTAATAATATTTTTTATTTTCATTTACTTTATTATTTGTTTTTTATTCTATTTCTTATTTTATTAATAATTATTAATCACTAATTAATCATTAAAAAGTATGAATTAATATTCTGATCGACTTAAACTTTTTTTTTAATTTACGAAAACTTGAATTCGAATTTAATGCGAGATAGGATTATATTATTCTGAAACTGAGATAGCCTTTTATTATTTTGACAATTGAACTAGCTTCATATTGAACTGAGCTCGAGTTGGCATTTTATTATTCTGACAAATGAACGGGCATCTTATCAACGGGAGGCGTCGAAATTTTTTCCATACTATCGAGAACCCTATTTTCAACGTTGTTTTTCTTCTCCTTGTTTTTTTTTGCAAATTTTTTTCGAATTTTTTAGTTTTTTAAAAACTAAACAATGGTTCCTTTTTTTTTACGAACGAGATTTTTTTTGTTCGACAAAAGTGTTTTGATGTGAGAAAAAAATTAATCGCACAAATATAGAAGCACCAATTTTCATGCGCGTTTTGACATTTTTTTGTTTAAAAAATAGGTAATTGAAAATGAAGATGGTAGATAAAAACCTTGATTGATGTCTATATATTTATATATATATTAACTCTTTTATGAAAAGAATTTTTTTTTTTTTTTTTTGGTAAAATTGCTTGTAAAATGTCCCGATGATTCGATGTTTATTGCGCGTACAACAATCGGGAATTTTTTTTTTTTTTTGATGTTCAAGTAATTTAATGAAGTGTGACACACAAAAATTAGATTTTTTGTGTTCAGTAGGCGCGAAGTCTGACCTCCATATCGGGATCCTGTCTGTGAGTGAGATGAGGTTCAACTGTACCGGCAGTGGCGGCACCAGTTCCATGATGTCCATGATGACCATGATGATGGTGGTGATGATGATGATGATTTAGATGCGGTGGTTGAACGCCACCACTTCTGTAGGTTCTTTGTTTTTCCTCAAATTCACGTAGACGTTGATTGTATCTCTCAAGTTGATCCCGAAGAAGTGCATCCTCTTCATTTGCTCTCTCTTCATCGTACTCCAAACATCCAACACCGTCGAGACGATCCAGATCGAGCCAGCCTCTCCACAAGACGCACACTCCGTTCATTATTAGATGAGATTTCAAATGAACCTGTAATCATAATTATTTTTTTCATTAATTTTTGTGATTTATGTCACCTTAGTTTGTTGTTTTGAAATATTTTTATTTAAAATAAATTTTACGAGACGGGAAATCATATAATTTCTTTCGGATATGAAATATTTAATATATAGTAGGTTTTTCGAAATATTAGGTCCATTATTTTTATATTGAAATTTCAGGATAATTTAGAGACATTACTATCGAATTTTCTATTTTTTTTTCTTCTTCAATTTGCCAAGCAACGAAAAAGGTGGATTGAATCACGATCGTTTAGGAGTAAAACGTTGCAATTTCCTCCCACTATATTTGATGCCAGAAGCCTTTTGCTGAACCATCCAATTTGCGCCTTAATCGCCTTCTAGAAACGTGAAAAAGTATTCGGCTGCTGCCGACAGAACAAAACCCGAATTGAAATGACGAGAGAGAGAGAGAAAGAGAGATGATTGCAGATTGAAGCCCGCACCGACGGCAGGGGAAAAATAATGGGAATTCCACAGATGAGAATCAGGTTTTTGAAATTCATGAGGAAAAACATTAATTATATTTGTTTTTAGAAATAAAGGAGGCAAAAAATTAACATAAAAATAAAATTACTTTACTTTTTATTTATTTTTTTTTTCTTCACTTTTGAAAACTTTAAAATTTTCTACAAAAAAAAGATTAAAAAAAAAAACAGAAAATTTTCTGCGAAATAGAGAAATCTGATAATTTATCTGTGGATGATCCCTGGAATCTCGAATTGGATATAATTATCCTAAAGTTATCCTTCGAAAGCGCCTCCCGCTAATATTATATTTATTTTCTTCGAATTTTTCTATTTCCGGTCTTAAAAAAAAAAAATCGAATATAATTTGACCCCCCCTCTTACAAAATAAGGCGCACTGTGGTAATAAAAATTAAAAATAAAATAAAATTTCTTTACATCCAGAGAAGTGTTATATATTTGTCTTAGAAATAAATATATTTATTTGGTTCAAAATTAATTTTATTAAATAAAAATTTTATTTGCGCTAAATAAAATTTAATTTGTGACAAATTGAATTTTTTATTTGAAACAAATAAAAAAGCTATTACAAATATGGAAAAAAAATCTTTATCTGGAAATGGGAGATGTTTCTCTAGAATTGTGAAAACTTTCGCTATTTTAGTGAAACATATCGCTATTTCAGTGAATCTTATCTCTGTTCCATGTGATCATTTTTTTCCGTGTATATTTTGGTTTTAAATAAATTTTAATTCAATTAAATATTATTTAAATCAAATTCATAGAAAATTAAAAGGAATTAAAATAAGCTGCAACGCTTATTATTTTAATCCAATTTTGCTTATTTTAATACCAAACTGGATTAAAATAAGCAAAAATGGGATTAAAATAATAAGCGTTGGAGCTTATTTTAATGCCTTTTAATTTTCTGTGATTTTACTTGTTTGAATAAAATTTATTTGTCATAAATAAAAGATTTCTCTGAGTGTAGATTTAAACGTTTTTTTTATACGTTTTTGCGAGGAAAAAGTTGCATCTGCCTCGTGTTGCGCAAAAATTTAGTGTACAATACAAATTTTTTTTTCCCCGATTATATAATTGAACAACGGGATATAATCGAGGGGAAACTTTGCGAAGAGAAATTTTCATTATCGAATCAATAAGTCACCGAATTTTGTTATGCACTGGAAAAAAAATTTATTTGATCCAAATACCGGTGTATTTGGTTATTATCAAATAAATATTTACTTAAATCAAATATTTCTTATTTGAATCAAATAAATTTTTTTTTCATTGTAGATATTTAAAAAATTAAAATAAAATAATTTTTTTCTAGTAAATAAAAAAAATTTTATTAATTCAAAGAAATGTAATTCTTTGAATGAATAAAATTTTTGTCTGGGTTTTGAAATTTCAGTTTCTTTTTTTTTTGAGTGCAAAAAGATGTTCCAATTTTGAAAATAGATTTCCTTTTACGAAAAAAAAAAAAAAAAATAGGCGGGTTTATATAAATTGAAAAGACTTTACGTGACGCAAGACCGGAAGTTGAAGACCGTAAAGATAGAAAATCGGAGAAACTGGCGCCTGGACCACGTTCTTTTTTTGAGCATTATACACTCGGTGGTCTACAAAAATTTTAAAATGACATAAGGAATGGAAAAAGAGGCGAGAAATATAAGGGACCCCTTGTTGACCGTATGGTGTAGTCCTAAAATTCCCGATGACGAATGTTCTTTCTCTCTCTCTCTCTCCCTTTTGTTCTCCTCGTGCTGGACCTAACGAAAAAAAGGCACTTTGGACACGCCTCTTAAAAACAAAAGCGAAAAATAGCCCATCGTTTGTTTCCAACTCGTCACAAAGTTGTACGCGAGTCAAATCTCACCCGTTAATAACGTACCAAAAACTCCCTCTCCGTTATATTATATAACCCTTTTCGATTTTTGTTAGCTTGGAACGATGCGTTTTTTTTTCTCTCATTCTTGACAAATGCAAATGAACCAGTTAAAGGGTTAACTTGGCTTGACGTTCAGGAATGCGTTACAGTTTAAATATCGTCGCTTATTATGACGATAATGGGTCACGCCTTTACGAGTTTGTTTTTTTACTGTCTCGCGTGAGAAATAGGGAGAGAGAAAGAGAGAGAGAGTTGTTAAGGGCGAAAACTTGCTTGGAACAAGGTAATTAATTAATTGGCTCTGTGTTTTCTATTCAGTCAGTTATTTATGTTTTATGTCGAGGAAAAAAAATTCTTTTTATACGTTTCTAAATCTCTTTCTAAGTATATTTTATTTGTTTTTATTTTTAGTTGTTTTTTTTTAAATTTATAATTTTTGTTAATTAATTTTTCATTAAAACGTATTTTATATTTTGTAGTTGAAAAAAAAATGTAAAATTTTTCAAAAGCAAGAAGGAAATAACAATTAGTTTTAATGATAATAATTTAAAAAAGTTTGACAGGTGTATATTATCCAGATGTAATACGAGTGAGTGCGAAAAGAAAATACCAACTGTGCACATTCACTTTACGCTGATTTTACCTTTCGTCTGGATAATCGCACTCATTCAAATCCTATTAACATAAGTTGCAACTAAACACCGTATAGAGTGAAAATAAAAACAGCTGAAATAACAAAATGTTATTTTGTGCGTTTCACACTTTTAATTATCAAACGAAATAAAATTATAATTTCTAATTGTTATTTCACAATTGTAATTTGTAATTGTTATTTTGCAATTGTTATTTTATAATTGTAATTTTATAATTATAATTTTATAATGTTAATTTAATAATTACAATTTTATAATTATAATTTATAATTTTTTTTACTCATTTAAATTACTAACTAAAACAATAATTTTATTTTACTAAATTTCCGGCATTTTAATATGTATTTGAAATTTATTTTACACACGCACATAGAAAAAATTTTCTGTGGCAGCGAATTATTTGCCGCCACATCAAATTACGTTAGCCAATATAGGGACAGTGGAAAAATTTGCTGTGGGGTCAAAAAAGTTTGCTGTGACAGTAAATTTTTAAAAATTAAGACTTATATTGTTTATAATAGCAAACTTTTTCGTTGTCATAGCAAAAAATTTATCTGTGGTTACTAATTTTGATAGATCTGATAGTAAACATTAGTTAGAGTTTGTAAATTCATTTTTTTCCGTGTAGTTAAAAAAAAAAGTTTATGAAAAATTAAATTTGAAAAATAAATAAAATACTTAGAAAAGAGTGGAATGAAAATGAAAATTATAGCTTCTAAACTAAATAGAAAAAAGAATCTTCATTAACATTCTACTGAATAGAATTTCCGGCAGATTTACGTCTCTATTGATCGTAGAACCATTTTTTAGTAGAAGATATATTACAATTTTGTAAAAGATTGAATCTATATTTATAAGGTCTGAAAATTAGGATGAGCCCTCTGCGCGATAAAATCATGGTTTTCACATATTAGAAGCGGCTAAAATACCGTTTAGTCAACGGAAGGCTGAGTTTTATGGCGTGAGAGTCATTTTTGTATACGACGATACAAGTCTCACCTGTCCCGTAAAAGGAACAGAAATAGCCCTCAAATTCTAAGAGTGTCTCTCCGCTTTTGCTTTATATATATTTACGTAGGAGAGAAAGAAACACTCTCTCGAAGAACAGAAAAAAGAATCTACGATGGGATAGAAATTGACGGAGAGAAAGAAAAGAGAAAAAAAAATAGTATAAAGATGAAGATCCTCTCGGCATACGAACAATGATTTAGAACAGACATTAAACGACCGCTAATTTCGGACTGTCTGCACACACATCTCTCGCGAGATGAAAATTTAAACTCTGTTTTGAAATTGGATTTTTTTTTTTGACACAATCAAACTAAGATGATATAATATTTTCACGAAATATGGGCAATTTTGATAAAAATTTATTTATCCGAATGATGGAAATTATTTTCCACGTGAAAAAAAATGTAATCTCATATTGAGAGGAAATTTTCGACATTATTCCAAACTGTTGATATTGTCTGGCGTGAAAAATAAAAATTACAATTATTCTTATATTGAGAGGAAAAAAATTGTGAAAGGTTTAGGCACTTTATTCTTCAATTGAGTTTTCGTTTTATATTAAGAGGATAATGATTAGAAGAAAGAGAAACTTGTCAGTTCAATATATCCTCAAAGATGGTGCTTGAAACTACCAAGTTTTTTGCAAAAAAAAAAACCAATAACAGAAGCATATTATTTTCCTCTTCAATTAAGAGTTTTCGTTCTGCAAAAGAATCGTGAGCATTTTTTTTAGCATTTTCTTTTTTAAAAAAAGGTCCTTAAAAGCATTCTTTTTAGAATTTTAGGATGGCAAAAGAATGTTTGGTGTTTTCCTCTTCAATTAAGAATATGTTTGTTCTGCAAGACAATTTTGAAGAGAGGAAAATTTTGATATTATCCTGTAAAATAACATCATTGAAAGTAAATAATCATATATTCTACTTTTAAAAATTTAGAAATAGCGAAAAGAGAGTTTAGCGTTTTCCTCTTCAATTAAGAGTTTTTGTTAACTACTTAAATAAAAAAGAGAGGGAAATTCATGGACACGGCCTCATTCAACATTTGATTAGAAATTTGTTCTCTTTTTCTTATTACAGTAATTTCCTCTCAAATGTAGAGGATATCCGCTCGTATATTAGGAATAGTTGCATAAAAATGAAAGAAAATGGTTTCTTGTAAATCTTTTTTTTTCCTCTTATAATTCAAAACAAAATTCGTTTTTGGTTCTATTTTTTTTCTTCTTTTTTTTTTTTTGTTTCTTTGAGTACCTGCGATGTAATTACGACTTTTATTAATAAATACACGGTCCATAGGGGTTCTTTTATCATGCGTGCGTATCTTTCGTAATAATTGCTCTCTGCAGGACTCGATGACAATATAGCGCACGTGTCAGCCTTATATTCCTTCAGCTTTTCTTTCTCTACTCCTCCACTTTTATTGTCGTTTAAAACAAAAACCGATATCCGCGGGATACGCGTGTGCGCGCATAGTCTTTCTGCGATTTTAAAACGAGATTTGTTCTCTATACTAAATATATATGTATATTTGGGGAACTATTTCATTTGCTTCGAAAATTTTAATATATGGAGCCTTAAGAATTCGTTGATTATTATTATTATTATTTTGTTTATTTTTTATACTATTACTATAAGATAATAATAATAATAATAATAATACACGGAGAAAAATGGAAAAATTAATTAAGTAACTTTTATACTATTTTGAAAGTAAAACCTGAACTGTCCGGAGTTTATGCGTATTTCTGGTAATTTTTACTCCGAAAATAGTAAAATTTACTATTTCCGGAATAATTTTTACTATTTCAGTAGTAAATTTGACTATTTTCGGAGTAAAAATTACCAGAAATGCGCAGAAACTCCGGAAAGTTCAAGTTTTATTTTTAAAGTAGTAAAAGTTACTTTATTCGTTTTTCTATTTTTCTCCGTATGATATAAATAATACTATAATAATAATAATAACTAAAAAAAACTAATAGATTTTTTTAGCTGAAAAATTGTTTCTCTTTTGTTATAAATAAACAAAAATTTAGTCAAACGAAATTTATTAGTTCTATATTTTGTTTTTGTTTTCACTTGTTATTTTTTCAAGGATTTAGTTTTGTTTTTTAGTGTATAAAAAAAAAAAAAAAAATTTGTAAATACGGAAGAAAATTAGATTTTATCACTAAGAAAAAAAAGCAATTTATTTGAGAAAAAAAATAATTGAGGGGATTTTTAGTACCTGTGACAAGTTTACATCCGTTTACAATTTAATATAGAAGAGGGAGAGCTCAAAGCTTTGAGATTGAGAATGAGGCACGATTTGAGCTTTATTGCTGTGTGAGCGTGTGGCGCGCGGGTCCTTTAAAGTCAAAACTCCTGCAAATCATTTAAATACTAGAAACATCCTGCGGGTGGAAAGAAGAGAATCGAGAAAGATTGATTTACGATCCCTTGTGAATTAGGCATCTGGTACTATATGTATATATTTGAGATTTAAAAGATTTCGTCAATTTTCAAAACGTTAATTACTCCTAATTGCTTCTACAAATGAATCGTTTCTATTTTTGAAAAAAAAAATAACTTGGTTCTAAAAAAAGAAATGAAGGAAAAAAAATGGTGATTTATTTTGACATTGATTGTCAAAATAACGAAGTTTAATTATCAGTTCAATTTTGATAGTTTAAACCAAATAAAAATTAATAATTTTTTTTTTAATTTTTTGGTTTTAACAAATTTTGAATTATAATTGTAATCAAAATTTTCGTTACTTTAGTTTAAATTTTAGTTGAGATAAAGAAATTTTTTTTTAGAATTTTAAATCGATTTTGCTTTGTGGGATGATTTTAGAAAAAAAGAAAGGATAAAGAAAACAAAGAATATGTATTTTAGATTTGAGTTGTAAATTTTTGGGAGCAATGGCGACACACGACGCCCTATCGATCACAATGGCGTTAAGGCGTCGAGGCGTCACCCTTTTTTAGCGCAAGCGCGCGCGCAAGTATAGAGAAAGTCGATAAACTTTGTTGTACTGCACTTTTCAAAAGGGTGTACAAGGGGAATAACGCATCACAAAGAAAAAAATGTTTAATTTAAATTCCTGCTCAAAGTGCGCCCTTAAAAAAAAAATTTCTCCTCAGATTTTAGAATAAAATTTCTTTCCTAAAAATATATTTCTTTAGAGGTAAAAGGAAAAAATTGATTTTTGAAAAAAATTTCATTTTTCCTGAAACTATTCTTATACACGGAAAAAAAGATTTACCTGAAACAGCGAAACGTTTCACTATTTTTAAGAATAATTTTACTTATTTCAGTTAAACCTTTCGCTATTCTAGTGAAATCTTTCGCTGTTTCGGGTAAATATTTTTTTTCTTGTTCTTAGAGGAGAGAATGGAAATTTTCCTTTCAATTTGAAATTATTTTTTCTATGGATTTTTTTTTGATTTGTCAGTTCTGCAAAAAACTTTATTTGTTAAATAGTAACAATATGAAAAGAAAAAAACGTGAAATTGATGTAATTTTTTCTATTCTCCGAAATGACTGACTTTCCTTGAATTTTTATATATTATGTGAAATGTGAAAATTGAGGGGGTGTCATTTCCAATTTGTGTTGAGAGTCCCGGGATTTTGGGGACCATGGTAGAGCAACCCCCTGCGGGGAAAATCGTAAAGGACCGGAAAAAAGAGACACAGTCAAGCAAATAGGACGTTAAAGGACGGTCAGAAATTGACATCTCAATGATCCAGCACGAAACGGTCATTTTGTCCGTAGTGTTGAAAGTGGATATTTACGAGTTTGTCGCCGAGTCGAAAAATGGCATGCGATATTATATAGTATAGTAATATATATATAGGAAAGCTAAACGTGTGCAAGCAGTTTTTGTGTAATATACAACAATTGAAGGTTTGGCCCTCTTTAGGTCAAAACGATTTCTAATTTGCAACGGTCCTATATGTATTTACACACGATCCAATTATACCAATTTCATCCATTCTTGAAAAAAATAACCCAGAAACGGAAACGAGAAACATTTGGCCTCTTCGCAACGATTTTTATATTTTTCGAATTAGAAATTTTAATACATATTTAATTGTTTAGTTTGTAATAATATTTTTTGTTTCTACACCCAGAAAATTAATGCACAAATTTCTTTCATTCGATTTCTTTAAATCAAAGAAAATTTCTTTGAAACTAAAAAGCATTTTTTGTTTCAAAAAAAAATTTATTTTGAATGAAAAAAAATAAGTCAAAGAAATTGGTTTCTTTAAATCAAAGAAATCTTTTCTCTAGGTGATTTCGAAACGAAGGAATATAATATCCTATACAGTTGGCAAAAACGAATTTAATTTTTTAATTGAGGGAAAATAATAATAATAATTTATTGATTATTTAAAAATAAAAAATTAAAGTTGATTAAATTCTTTTGATAATTGATATGTAATAGAAGCAATTTTTAGTACCTTGCCATGTTCTTTTTCAAAATCGGACTCTCGTGGATCTCCCGCATAGTTTCCGGAAGCGACACCAAATACGAGCTGTAAATTTGTGCCAGTTGCTGCAAATGCAATTTCCGTATGTCCCTCTCGACATCCACTTTGAAAACGGACTTGCCTTTCTTCAAGTGGCCTGTCTCGATAGCCAGTGTATTTCACCTAAAATTAACACAAAAAAAGGAAAAAAAAAATTATTATTTTTATCCAAAATGTTTAATTTTATTCATATTAAAATTGCATTTTCTTTGGTTATAATTATTTTTTTACTGAATTATTATTCTTATATGTGATTAGAATATATTTTTCTTGAATTAAATAAGAATATTTATGAATTCTCAGAATCATTAAAAGGGTTAAATGTCTGCCATTTTGAAAATTTACTAATGCATTTCTCTTTGGCTTGCGACAGAGAAGATAATCCCTTCAATTGTCTTTTGCGGTTGCCCCCAGCAGAGAATTTTATTATAATCTGTGTAGAAAATATTCGTGACAAGAAGTTATATAAAGTGAATTTAAATTATAAATTAGAAACATTTTCTTTTTTTTCGAATAAATATTTCTTTGATACTCTCTAAATCTGAATTAGTAAAAATGTTTACTAATTTGAATTAGTGACTCACTTTTTGCTTCCGAATTAGTAAAATTTTACTAATTCAGAAGCAAAAAGTGAGTCACTAATTCAAATTAGTAAACTTTTTTTACTAATTCAGATTTAGAGAGTAGAAAAAATGTGATACAAAATTTTATAATTTTGACTTTTGAAATGAAATTTTTACAAACAAAATTTATTCACATCGAATAAGTTTTTTTGAAAAAAAATCTTAAAAACCAAATATTGAATTTCAAGACTTTCTTTTTTTATTAAAAAAAAAATGTAAAATTGTTTTTGGAATGTTTTTCAAATTGTAATGCATTTTGAATTCAAAATTATTAATGAACTCTCTATGTTGTGTTTAATAATGAAAATGATTTAAAATTGTTGAAAGACTGCACCTGTTCACGAAAAACCCTTTTGACGACAAGGAGTTAACGGTACACTATTTCTATCGAAATTTTTATCATTATCTTATACATCCCCTAGGAAGAAAACTTTATTACCTATAGGGAAATGAATCTTTTGTTGGCTAGTAATCTTTGCGGTTGCAAAGTCAACCACTACAATGAATATTTGATGACCATATTCTTAATCCTATGAAACACCAGATTTTCAAAACCGCAAAGGTTTCAGTATAATCTATGGGGGTGAGGAACTTTAAAGAAAAAAAAAAAAAAAATGTCAGCGTGTGGCCCAACTCTTGAAGGATATGAGTTATAGACGTACACATGTATATATATTTAATATTTAGCATTTCTTGCGCACAGCAATGACAATTTCAAATTTTGTTAATGAGAAAGTGATTAATTTTTCATTTAATAATATATCTATATTAATGAATTCTTGGGGTTAAAATAAATTATTACATTTAATTATTTCACGCTTTATTATTAATTCGGTTAGTGGAGAAAAAGGACATTTTCGTTTGATTAAACTATGAGGTGTCCTTTTTTTCCAGCGAATTAATTAATTTTATACTTTTTATAAATCTAAATTAGTCACTTTTGACTAATTTAACTACAGCAATTTTTGTTAATTAAAAATAATTAATTAGTAAAATATTAGCTGACTTGTTTCATTAGTAAAAAAATTAAATAAATAAAATTAGTACAAAAATTTATAAAAAAAATGTAACTAATTAATAATTAATTGTAAATAGAAAATATAGTTAAAATTGACTTATTCATTTATAGAAATTTTAGTTATTTTGACATAAACTAAAAGTGCATTTAACTAATAATTATTTTTAACTAATTTTTTAGTAGAAATATGAATCAATGACTGATTTTTTGCTATCAAGTAGTTTATTTTTAATTCATTCAAATTTAGCTAGTTCGTTAATTAAATAAATAAGTAACTGTTTTTAATTGGAAAAATGACTAATTAGTAGAAAATTAAATTTTTTTATTAAAGTTTACTAAATGAAATTGTGGCTTTTCTAAATGAATTAGTAATTTAGATACCAATTACTTTTTTTTTTTATTAAGAATTAGTCGAAAAAGGTTACCAATTAATTTAATGAACGTTGAATTAGTCAAAAGTGAAATTCAGATTTATGGAAATAGAAAATTCAAAAGATATCTTAAAAATGAAATTATCACACTTTATAATTGAAAATAACTAATAACTTTATAAACACTGTTTATTTTTATAATGATGATATTGTTCAGAAGTTTCCATTTGTGTTTAATATTCTTTGAAATATGATTTATAAATAAGATTCACCTATATGGACATGATGTGAAACTTATTTATATAATCATTTCAAATACTTGATATTATAATTAAGGTAACAATTTAATTGGATTAATAAATTTTTAATTCAATTAATAATGTTAAATTAAAATAAACTTTACATTCTCTCTAAATCTGAATTAGTAAAAAATGTTTACTAAAAACTCACTTTCTGCTTCTGAATTAGTAAAATTTTACTAATTATTAGTAACTTTTACTAACAATTAGTAAAATTTAACTAATTCAAAAGCAAAAAGTGAGTCACTAATTTAAATTAATAAACATTTTTTACTAATTCAGATTTAGAGAGTTAATTAGGTTCTTATAGTTATAAAATTGCAATTTTTTTTGTTAAATAATCAAAAGAGAATTTTTGGAGTAAAAAAGTAATTAGAATATAATTGATTGAGAAAAACTCACCTCGCTTTCGCGGCCCAATCTTCGAAAAAGTTCATCACTCTCGAATTTTGCTTTTTGATCAGGAACAACTCGGGGCATTTTGAAGACAAACCTTGGCCGTGGTTGTTCATAGAGTCCCATTCCATCAAATGGTAGGACACCTAGTCCTCCAGCTCCCCCCGCATGCTCACTCATAGTGTGCATCATCATTGAAAATAATAACTATTGTTTTCCACTTGTTTGGAAAAACTCCTCCCACTTGAGGGTGTGCACTCTTTTCTTTTTTTTTTTATTAATCCTTTTTTGCAACTAGATTTCGAACCAGCAAAATCACGTTTTTTTTTTTAATTGATCGATTAAACACTTTTTGAACGGAAAAAGTTTTATTTATTTATTTTTTTTTGTTGAGATAAATGAAATTGCAAAAGAAGAACTGTGACGATAGTTCTTCAAATAATGTATGAACTTCCGACCGTACTCTGTAACGTCTCAGTGAAGACTAAGGCGTGAAGGTCACCCTCTGTGCAGATCATTTCCCGGTTACCACGCCCTGGTACCGCCCCATGATCCCCCCACCATCGATGACTATAGTAGTTTTGAACCAATCATTCTTTCCCATTTTCATGGTGAAGTAAACATTTTTCTGTAATTTTCTTCTTCTTCTTCTTCTGACTTTTTTTTCTTTTTTGATTTGATATGTTTAGATATGGAAATTTCAAAATGGTGAATTTTGAATGATTTTAATTTTTTATTGTGAGGGTGGTTTAGATGAAAAATTACGAATTTAATTTGGGGCGCATGAATTTCCCATAGAAATCATTAATTCGAATTTTTAATTTTCGTGTTAAAATTTGACAGATTTTCTTTTGTTATACGAATTTTTACTTATCAAAATTTTTAGCTACCCAATTTTTTGTTTAGCAGAATTTTTATTTTATACGCATTTTCTTTACATGATTTTTTATTTAATCGAATTTTTAATTAATCGAATTTTTAAATGACAGAAATTACAATTTACCGTATTTTAATTTGTACGAATTTTTAAGACGCCGAATTTTCATTTGTCCGAAATTGTAAATGGCCGAACAAACGCAATTAATAGAAAGATTTCGGCGCAATTTTTAAAATTGACCAATTAGAAATTATCAAGAAAATCGTGATTGGTCTGTTTTGAAAAATTGCGCCGAAATTTTTCTGTCTATTTGTTTGTTCCGGCTATTTGTAATTTCGGCGTCTTAAAAATTCGTACATATTAAAATTCCTAAAAATAAAAATTCGGTGAAATTAAAATTCAGTGAATTGGAATTTCTGACATTTAAAAATTCGAAACACATAAAATTCGATTGAATGAGAATTTTTGCTAAATTAAAATTCCTCAACGATTAAAATTGTTTCATTTATTTTTTAGATTATTTCTTTACAAAATGAGAGTATTTTGTAATAGATGAAAATGTATGAATTTGTTCCATCTACACTCAGAAAAATGGTATATTTGTCTCCGAGCCTACTAACTTATTTATTTGTTGCAAATATATTTCATTTCATTGAAATAAAAAATTTATTTGAGCCAAAGAAAAATTTATTTCTGACAAATAAAATTTTTATTTACGCCAAATAAATAAGTTAGTAGGCTCTGAGACAAATATATACGTTTATTTAACTCAAATATATTTTATTTGGTTCAAATAAATCATTTCTCTGGGTGTAAATTTGAATTAGTTAAAAATAACTAATTTGATAACAAAAAATCAGTTACTGATTCAAATAGTAATATTTCTAATTTTTTAGTTAAAAATCACTAATTATTAGTTAAATTCACTTTTAGGTTATGTTGAAATAACTAATTGTAACTAATTCAATCAGTTTTGACTTCTTTTATGACTATTTTAAACAAAAATTATTTTCCATTGAAAATTAGTTGTTAAAATTAGTACTAATTCACATAGACGATGGCGCCCTCAACTAGGATAAAATTTGTTGCAGTTAATTTTTATACCGATTTTGGGGTAAAAATTCTACTTTTTTTTCGTGTGTAATTAGTTATTTTTTACCATTTGCTGAAGCGAAAAGTCGACCAAGATTTTAGGTATTTTTAACTAATTCATATTTAGCTATATTTTTCCACTGAAAATTAGTTACTTTTTACCAAAAATTAGTTAGTTTTTACTAACTGTTAAAGCAAATAGTCAAAATTTTACTAACAATTAGTTATTTTTAACTAATTTGGATTTAGAGATTTTTGCAAATCTACTAAACTTTAATTTACTTTACAAAAATGTATTATTTGAATGATAAAACTGCCATTACACTGAAAAAAAATTCTAGTTAGAATAACCAGAATTCTGGTTAGGGTATATTTAACATTTTGATTCTGGTTAGGTTAACCAGAATTCTGGTTATTTTAACGAGAATTCTAGTTAATTCAACTAGAATTCTGTTTAACATAACTAGAAAGTAATGTTAAATATAGCCTAACCAGAATTTTTTTTCAGTGTATAACCGTAATTATATATACATTGATTACTGATAACCAACTATCAAAATCGAAAATCTATAGTAAAAATGATATATAATCCCATCAGTAAAATTTACTACATTTTCGATTTTCAATTTTATTACAAATGTTTTTGTAATTATTTATGATTTTAGTTTGTTTTTTTAAACGATTAAATTAAAAAATAATCTTACATTTGATGTATAAGATTATGAAAAATTAATCCTCTCAATTTAAGAGGACTCTATTTGATGACAGACAACGTATATATATAACGTCTTAAAATGAAAATTGAACACAGGTTTATTATATTTTATAAGATTGAAACGTTTAAGATGAATGTAACTTTGCCGATTGGTCAAAATATTTCCAGATGGGGGATGAGATGCAACTCGTGTCACAGACCCCTCTCTCATATATGTATATGTGTATGTGTCTCATATGAGATACAAACATAAAACACCCTGAAAATCCCCTTTGGGAAGACCTTCATCGGCTCTCGAGTGGCTCGGCTCATCCATTTGAGAGGATCATTGTTAAGATCTCTCTACACGATTAAGATCGACGACCCTTATTGCACGTTACGCGTTACCAACCGAATCCCCCCATTTATCTCTTATACTGTGTATATATATATACCTTTTTTGACAACATATACATATACGTTTTCTTTCTAAACTTTATACTCAATTTCACAAAAGGATATAATCATGCGAATCTCGAAAATTTGATACAATAATGTCATAAAGTACTTTTTTCCTTTTTTTGTAACTAATTTTACATGTTACTTAAATAATTTTACTAATTCTTTAAAAAATTTATTTTTTTTTCTTTATAAATTTATAAAAAGTTAGTAAAATTTTAACTAATTTTGAATACGTGATTTAATTTGTCTTTGAATTAGTTAAATTTTACTCATTAGTTGGTAAAAAAAATTTTTCTTTTCTTACTATTAATTAGTCGGATTTTAGTAATCGTCAATAAAATTTTTTCTACTATTTGTTAAATTTTACTAACACAGAAAAAACGCTGGGTAAATTTTGTTGCGGGTAATTTTCACCAATGCTAATTAACATAGACGGTGGCGCCCTCAAGTAGGATAAAATTTGTTGCAGGTAATTTTTATACCGATTTTGGGGTAAAAATTCTACTTTTTTTTCGTGTGAATTCAAAACCAAAAGTCGAGGCAGTTATTAAAATTAGGTAAAATTTTTACTTTTCTTTTTTGTGTAATTATTTTCTAAATCTGAATTAGTCACTTTTGACAAATTCTTAAAGTGAAAAATGATAATTGCTAGTATAAAACTACTAATTTATTTAGTAAGGCTATTTTAGTTATTAATTTAATTATTAATTTAATTTAATTTTAATAAATGAGTTATAGTCTAGTTTTCTACTAACAATTATAGTCATATTTTTACAAAAGTGCTTTCTATAAATTTGAATTAGTAAAATTTTTAACTAATTTGAATTAGTGACTCACTTTTTGCTTTTGAATTAATAAAATTTAATTAATTCAAAAGCAGAAGAGTCAGTGATTCGAATTAGTTAAATTTTTTACTAAATTGAATTCGTGATTGAGTTGAAATTTTTACTACTTCAGATTTAGAGTATGAAATTTTTTTATGAACAGCATATGTATTAAACATTTTAGTAACAAAAAGTAGAATATTCGCAGTAAAGAATAAATAATATACGGCATTTAAAGAAAAGTTTTGTTTGAAACAAATAATATAGCATTTTTTTTAATATTAACCCAATTTTTTTGTTATTTCAAATAATATGTTTGGTTCAAATAAATATTTATTTTATTTAAATAAACGTTATGTTTGTTTAAATAAATTTTTCTGACAAAGAAAGAATTTGATTGAGCCAAATAAACATTTGGTTGATTCAAAAAAAATTTGGTTATAACTGTATCTCTCTAAATTTGAATTAGTGAAACGTGAGCTACTAATTCACATTAGTAAGAATTTTTATTAATTTTTAGTAAAATATTACTATTTGATTTAGTAGTTTCAAATTTTTTTACTAAAGTTTTAGTAAAAAGTGACTACACGGAGAAAAATGAGTTTGCTATTATATGGATAGCTAATTTTTAGCTACAGAACTATTTTAGCTATAGTAGCTAATTTTTAGCTGTATTAGCTAACGAAAATTTCTGTCCATATAATAGCAAATAGGGTTAGCTACAATAGCTAAATTTTAGCTAATATGGCTAACTTTTTTTTTGTCCGTGTAAAAAGTAATGAAAATTCTTATTAATTCAAAAAAATTAGCAACATTTCACTAATTCAGATTTCGAGAGATGTATTTTCTTTGTTGATTGAAAAAAATGTTGTTGTTTCAAACAAATTTTTTTCGGAGTGAATAAACACATATTTTATAAAATATTTCAATGCAATTTGTTTTAAATGCAATATATATATACATATATTCTATAAATTTATTGACAAAATAAAAATAATTCAAAAATTTAAAATTGATATTGGCTTTTGAGGTAACACAGAAAATTAAAAGGCATTAAAATAAGCTGCAACGCTTCTTATTTTAATCCAATTTTTCTTATTTTAATCCATTTTGGTATTAAAATAAGCAAAATTGGATTAAAATAAGAAGCGTTGCAGCTTATTTTAATGCCTTTTAATTTTCTGTGAAATGTAATACATTTTAAATAAATATATTCTTATTTTAAGAGTATTACGTGGACTATTATTTATATTTAATTTATAGCAATGAGACGAAAATATAAGAATTTATGCTAAGAATTTATTCTTACTTTCAGAATACAATTTGTTTTGTTGGAATTTTTTTTTGTGAAGATAAATATAGGTTCTTGCTAAAAAAAAAAATTGTTTTTGTAGTGCAAAAGTGTAGGAGAGAAAAAAAATTTTAACCTAAAGTTTCCTCACAACAGAATATTGTCAATAAATCAGCGAAGCAATATTTGACCAGAAAGGACAACTTCCTTAGATTTTAGTCATGACCTCGCAAAAGTTTTTGTAAAGATCAACCTTAAAGTGGATTTTATTATCTGTTTTATGACAGTGTCCATTCTTGAGAGATTATAAGACATGTTTTAGTTCCACCAAAGTTAAATTTACCTACACAAGGTATATATATATATACATATATACCTACACGAGAATATTGTATAGAAAATATGATTTAAGATTTTGTATACAGATATACACTTGCTTTCATAATTTATATACAAAATTTCTTACTTGGCAAAATTTTATAACCCTTTCTCTCCAAAAGTCACATTCAAGTGCTGCTCTTTAAATTTCTATATACTAATCCAAAAGTTTCGAATATTTCTTTTCTTTTTCTCTTTTGGGGAAATATAATTTTTTTTTGTTACTCAAACATATACCCTAAAAAAAGTAATCTTGATTCTAGCGAATTCCTCTTAATTTGATGCATATTTTCCTCTTATATATTGTATCAAAAGTAATAGTCTTCACTTGAGAGGATTTTCCTCTCGCATATAATTTGACAATTATGGTTATAAACAGATAAAGAAAAGTTATTATCATGCGCTAAATTAAATATCTTTAATTAAATATTAAATATAATTAATGATTTATAGTTAATTACTTACATTAATTAATAGATTTGTTTATTTATTTAACTTTAATTCAATGTTTTTGACATCAGAACCTCAAAAAAATTGTTTTGTTTTATTATTAGTCACCAAAGAATAAAAATATTCTACATTCAAGTGGAATACTTTTGTTTTAAGAGGAAAAATTGAGAGGATATTAGAAGAGGATTTTTCCTCTAAATATGAGATTACATTTTTTAGGGTGTACGTAACGATATTTTTGGTAATTTTTTATTTATTTTTCTTTTGTATTTTTCTTTATTCATACAATGAAACATGTTCCATATTCATTACACTTTCAGGGAGGGAATTTATATATATATGTATTATTTACGTTTTCATTTTGACGAATCTATTCAAAGAGTCTATTTAGGGGACGTTTTTTTTCATTTTATTTTATTTTTTTTGTTGAAGAGGACGTCGTAACACGTTTTTAGGGGTGACATTCTCCGCCTCGTGTAAAACGCTATTGGTCCAGAGAAAACGCCAATCCCAGAATACATTCTCTTTCGGAACACAGTGGTGGAAATCCACTTCACATGCATATGATGCGTATACGCTTTTATTTGTGTGCATGTATGTGCATTAATCCTTTACCCTACTTTTCGTCATTGTTATAAAGAAATACCATATAATTTAATCAGGACAATGTTCTAAAAATAAAAGTTGGATAAAGAAAGACAAAAATTTTTTTTTTTTTTTAAATATACTGAATTTATAAGAATAAATTTTGCTTTCTTGGAAAAAAATTAAATTTCATGGAAAAGAGAGGAATTTGCAATTTCATTGAATTTATTTTTCATTTCAATGTATACTCTTAAAATAAGAATAATTATTCTAATTATTGCGCATAATATGGAATGTAATCTTATTTTAAAAGTACACTGAAAAATTATATTCTAATTTTAAGAATATCTTCTTGGCGTTTATTTAAGAATATTTCCCATGCATTTTATTTTTAAAGTTAGAATATAATATTCTTAAAATAAGAAACGTTTCTTAAATTAAGAATATTTTCTTTTGTCATGTAGAATATTTCTTAATTTAAGAATTATTTTTTATTTTAAGAATATTATATTCTAACTTTAAGAATAAAATACATACACGCAGAAAAAACTGAAAACTGAAATTAAGAATATATTCTTGGCGTCTATTTCAAAATATTTAATCCTTAAATACAGTATTGATTCTTATTTTGAGAATAATATATACTGAATTTAATTACATATTCTTATTTTAAGAATAATATAGGATACTGAGTTTAAGTTTAAAATAATCTTAAATAGGCGTCAAGAATATAATCTTAATTTCAGTTTACGGTTTTTTCTGTGTGGGAAATATTTTTAAATAGCCGCCAAAAAGATATTCTTAATTTTATTTATTTATTTATTTATTCTTAATTTTAAAATTTAGCCATTTAATTTTATTTTTTTATAAGAAATATTTTTTTATTTTTTACAAATGTTTTAAAGTTTTATAAAAAAATTTTTTTATATTTTGTAATAAACTTTCAGTTTCTGAAGAGGATGGCTGTGCCATTGAAACGTAAAGAATAATGTTTTTATTTTTTATTTAATCCTTGACTCGGAATGATCGATATCATCTTCTTATATTATTAAATACTACCGAGTGAGAGAATCAAAATTTTATTATATTTTTTTCAGTTTATACTCAGTTTAAAAGTACTGAATTTGAGAATTAAAATGTCAAATAAGTGCCTATTCTTATTTTAAGAGTATAGAATTTATTATTAGTATATTATCCTCTCAGTATAAGAGTATTTGTACAAATCACAATGGATATTCGTATTTTCAGAGTAGAATTTATATTACCCTCTCAATATAAGAATAATGCAAAATATAATCTTAAATGTAGAATATTTTTTTTTTATTTTAAAAATAAAATTTAATGAATATAGAAATAAGTAAATTGCATTTGAAAGATTCTAAAATAGGTGCGAAAAATTTATTCTTAATTTAAGAATATTTTTTTCTGTTCTCATATATATATACACAGTATGAGCATTTACATAAAATCAATTCTACTGGTTGCCCAGAGAGACACATTGCAGGACAATGTACACGTATCGAATAAACAGTGTAGACTTGTGTTCAAGTGAATGTGATATTGACACTATGCCGACTAGTGCAAATAAATTTTCTAAACGTGAAATAATTCCTGTTGGATATTTTGAAGCTTATCAGTTTCATCGTAGTAAAGTAAGTATATACATTAGAAAAAATATCTTCTTTTTTTATTTCATAATTTATCCTGTTTTATTGTAAATTTTTTCTCTTAATTTAATTTATTATATGAAGGCAGTCGAAATTTTTTATTCTATTTAAAAAATATATTTTGTATTTTTATTATTTTATTTATTTCAAAATTTGAAGTAAAAAAATCCTAATGAAATTTATTATGTGTAGGTGCGACTTGCGACTCCAACAGTGAATATGAATCCTCCCAAAGGAAGACCACACGTTTTATTTGATGCCAAAAAATTGCAACTAGAACGTGAAAGACAAGCTCGCATTGTTCGTGATAATTTTATTTTACTACAAAAACTACAAAATATAATGTACGGCACTGCTATGAAAAAATATCCACTAACACAAAAAAAATCCGCTTGCATAAGAACTCGTTGAGTAAATTTTTATAAATTATAATTATAATAATTAAAGTACAAAATATTTTATATATTTTACACTTTTTATAATGATAATAATAAATAATAATGATAATAAAATTTTAATTATTGATTATAAAAATACTAACGATAATAAAAGTAATAATGATAATAAAAATAATTATAATAATACATAGTAAAAAATAAGAGTAAAAATAATAACATTTCTAATACATTTGTAATATTTTTAAATTAATCAATACGTAAAATAAAAAAAAAAATGTAAAATTATATTTTGCTCATAATAAATAATTTTACCTAAAAAATAAAGAACCGTAAATTGTAAATGTCCAAAAAGAAATCAAATTTTCCAAAAGTAAGAATGCATTAGATTTTTATTGAATTCAAATTTTTTTTTTAGACATCTTTTTTATCTTCAAATGATAAATTGTATTTTCATTTTTCCAATCAGTAGTTCGTTTATTAGCCGCGAGACAGCAGCACGAGCTTGTAATTATAAATCAATTTTTCCCACGAGGTCGGTAAAACATTTTTCTGAATTTAAAAAAGTTTTTTTTGTTTATTTATCACAATAATTAAAATTTTTATTTTCAAATACGTTAACGTTTAAGATAATTGAAAATTGACTTTATTTATGCATTTTTAAATAATTTTCATAAATTTGACAATTTTTACTTTTTTTTCCCCCTTTGAGCCCCTAAAGTACGACTAACCTTTCTACACATATGTATCTGTATAGTAGGGAATTGATTTCTTTATTTTGATGAAAAAATTCAATTTTTTTTGTAAATGTCAAAAAAAAACAATTGTGTAATATAATATAGAAAATAATATGAATAATAAATTAATAACATTATTAAAAAAATATATATTATTCATATGAATAATATAAATAATTTAATAATAATTAAAATAATAATAAATAATTAAGAATAAATAAGGATAGATTAATTAATAATTAATTAAAACTATAGTATAATAATTTATTGATTAAAATTAATAATAAACCATTTAAATATTACAAAATAAATGAAGCAAATATATAATAATCTAAATGTGACGCGCTCTGAAGAAAGGGACTTTATAGAAGCAAACGAATTGTAGGTTATGTTTACGATAGTTTTATCTTGATTAAATGTTTCTTTTTATTTATATAAAATAAAAATCAGTTTTTTTTTTAATACTTTGGATGTAATAAAGACTTAAATATCAATAATTTGTATTGAAAATTTATCCTCTTTGTGTATTTTCACTTAAAAATTCCAAAACATAACCTATAATTTTTTTTTGCTTTTAAGGTCCCTTTCTTCAGAGAGCGTCAAAAATATTATATTTAAGGAAAAAAAAAATTGAAATAAATAAATGTGAAATATTTTTTATTGTAAATAATTATTCGTCGTATATATTTTTTTTTTGGAATAATAATTGAGAGCAAACTTTCAAGTTGTTTTTATAAATTAATTTATATAAACAATTTTTCCCATAAGTTTGGAAGTAAAAAAAAAAAAAATTTTAATTTTGAAATAATTTGTTCCAAAAAAAAAAAATTGTACCCGGAATTACAATTGTATATTGACAAGTGACATGAATATGATAAATTTGTCAAACTTTTATAAATGTCATGTTTGCTCACCAGTTATTTTATCACATTGACCAATATTTGTTTATGAAATGTTTCTTTTATTTAAGAAATCTCTGTTTTGCGGAATTTTTTTTTTTTTTTTTTTTTTTTTTGCACATTAGTACGTCATTTTCTCAAATAAGGCATTCTTCAGTAATAATAATAGCAAAAATATATACTATGCGTTGTAAATGTAAGTTTGAAGTAATTTTTTATCAGTTAATTGTTGATCTTTATCCAAGTTGATAAGATAGAATATAAAAGAAAGGGACATCTCACAAAATAGCCTTGTTTGTTAAATACTAGTCAATTAATGTGTCTATAATAATTCAACTATGAAGTCCGCATTGCTTTTATTATTTTTAGCTTCAGCTGCTCTTCAAGTGAGTAAAATATAAATAAATGGTTTGAATAATTTTTTTGTTTTTGGGAAAAATAATTAAATTTATTTATTAATAATTGCTTTATAGAATTTAATTAATAATTCTTTAATTATTTTTTTTTTTTAAATTTTTTTTCTATTTTTGTTTTATTTTATAAATTGAAAATTTGATAACTAATCATATATCGATCATCATGATTGATGAATTTTCATTTTTGGGGTTTTATTTATTTTATAAAAATTATGTTGGGAATTTGATAGCCTGTTAATAAAAATAGTTAGTAGATAAATAATGAAAGATGAAAGAAGAATATGGGCAAAAGTGAATGTCGAATTTCATTAAATTTTTTTTTATAAAAATATAATGAAAAAGAAAATTGATTTTTCAAGGTGGATTTTGCTTTAAGTACAGTAGAATCAAGAATAGAACAATTAAATGAATTATGGTACAGGGCACATATTATATATAAAAATGTGAAAGAATTTAAAGAAAATGAGGTGGATTCCAGAAGAGATAAGATCAATAATCAGACAATATCATTACTCGAAGAAGTGACAAGTTTAACTCAAACAACACATAAACAAATTGAGGTAACAAATCTTAAAATGAAAAAATGACATTGCTTTTTTTTTCAAAGAGAAAAGGCAAACAAAAAATTATTGATTAATAATAAATAAGACAATTATAAATTCAGGAATAAAATATATTAAAAAAAAACTATTTTTTCACCAAAACGAAATTTTAAAATTAATTTGTTTTATAAACAAATTGATATTGATAATTAAAATTTTAATTAAATTTTATATTACAGAAAAATAGTTTTTAAAAATTATATTTTATTTTTGAATTTTTGTAGAATTATATATGAAATTTTGCTGAATTGTATACAGAATTTACGGAATTTTTCGTGTTATCAGGAAGAGGCCGATACATACGCAGCCGAAGATGAAAATATAAATGTAGATTTATGTTTAGATGCTGCTGTAAATCAATTAAAATATATAATCGTTTACGATTGTGGTTCCTTTGGAACATGTCGCAATCGTTCCGAAGTGGAAATAAAAACGATTATTAAAGAATTGATTCAATATATAAAGGTATTATTACTTTTTTTTATTTCACTTTTAAAATAATAATAATTTTTTTTTGTTATTAATTATTATTATTACAGGTAAATAAAATTTATTTTTTCATTCTTTTTAAAATTTATATTACACTGAAAAAAAATTTGATTCAAATACTCGATTACTTGACTATTATCAAATAAATATTTATTTGTATCAAATAATTATTTTTTGATATACAATTAAATGGTATTTGTTTGAAATACAAAAATTGTTGGTACAAATAAAATTTATTTAATTTAAAAATTATTTGCTTCAAGTAAATATTTATTTGATAATAGTCATAAGTAATCGAGTATTTGAATGAAATAAATTTTTTTTTTTTCAATGTAATTATATTATATATTTGAATGAAATAAATTTTCAGGTGATGGAGGAGACAAAAATGACGATAATCTACGTGAGAGATGTGGCTTGTCAAAATCTCACTGGTTATGCTCAAGAATTATGTTTATATTGTCGAATTCCACAAATAGAAGTGCAAGTTGTAACCTATGAGAAAAAAGTGCAAAGATTTACAAAAAGAGCATTAACTATTATTGAACAAGTTGTTCAAACTGTTAATAAATGTCTCACTGATTCAAGTGACAAAGCTAAAGATAAAATAAATAATATTGTCAAAGAAACCAAAGAATGCTTTGCCCAACTTTGTAATAATTCTACGACTACAGTAGAACCACCAACAACATCAACAACAACAGAACCCATAACAGAAACTACAACAATATAAAGAGCAATAAATTAAGTTACTTGAAAAAAAAAAAAAAATTATGAAAAATAGATATTAAAATTAGAACAAATGTGATTTTTTGACTGTTAGGTAGAGATGATAAAATTTTTTATTTTTTAAAAGTGTTCTTTGATTAAAATAAAAAATAAAAAGAAATGTCGAAATTTAATGAAATACTTTTTTTTATGTCAGTGAAACTGTTTTTTCTTTAAAAAATATTTTTTTTTCAATAATAGAGAAAGAAATTAATTTAGAAAAAAAAAATTCTTAAAATTTAATTAAAAAATAAATAAAAAGTATTGAAATAAAAATTAATTTAATTAAAAGAATTTGAAACAAAAAATTCGCGTTTTTTAAGAAAACTATAATTTTTTGACAAAAATTATTATAAAAATTTAGTTCCTGATTGTATTAATTGATAACATGATTTTTTTTGGGCTAAAATAATACATTTTCCTGAATCTTTATCTTTAATTAATTGATTGTTTTTATCTAATGAATTATCAGTGAAAATATTATCAATATATGATAAGGTAATATGGCAATGGAAGCTAAAGCCAATAAATCCGTATGCAAGGTAAATATTCCCTTTTTGCTTTGATTTTCTTTTTTTTTTTTTTTTTTTTCTTCATTAAATCCATTTGTTGTTTTCTCATAGCTATTTAAAAAGCGAATTCCTTCACTAAACCTTCATTAAGGTTATATAGAATTGACGTCGTAATGGAAAATAATTTCATTTCATTGAAAAAGAAAACATGTTTACAATGAATAAAGTTATTGATAAAATTAGTAATTATAATTATTATATTATAATAATTTTTATGGCTTTGATGAACTGTAATTGTTATACTTTAATAATAAATAATTAATAATAGAGAATATATTATCATATAAATTTAATATTATTGTTTTTATTTGTATTACTACATTTTTTATACTAAATGGGTTCAATAGTCGGAAATCAGTAATCATTTATCAATTTTTTAATTAACTTAGCGCCAACCCCCCTGTTTTAATCATTTTTTTTTTTTAATTTTCCATTGATCTTATTTTTCCAAATGAACCACCTATTTCAAAGAATTATTATTACAAATTCATTGAAATCTGAATAAATATTATTAAAATTAAAATTATTAAATTTTAATTAATAAATTAATTAAATTAATAATAAATAAATTAAAATCGACTTTAAGAAATTATTTTTTTTTAAAAATAATTTCAATGAAATTGCCTAAAAACCAATAAATTATTAAAAAGTCTTGAAACGAACATAACCTTTAAATTCAAGTCATTTTTGGCGGGAACTCCACCTCCACTTGCGGCTATATTGAAAGTCTTGAAATTTACATAACCTCAAAATTTAGGTCATTTTTGGCGGAGGAGGGAAAATGAGAGGATGGAGAGGGGACTTGCGGCTATATTCAGAGCCTTGAAACGAACATAACCTCAAAATTTATGTCATTTCAGGCGGGAGAGGGGAGGGGACTTGCGGCTATATGCAGAGTCTTGAAACGAACATAAACTCAAAATTTAGGCCATTTTGGCGGTGGAGGGGAAATGAGAGGAGGGAGGGGGGACTTGCGGCTATATTCAGAGTCTAGAAACGAACATAACCTCAAAATTAAGGGTCAAAACTGCTCTTAAATTTGACCTAAATTTTGAGGGCAAAGGAGGTCAAAGGTCATAGGACAAAGGTCAAGGTCAAAGGTCAAAAATCAAGGTCAATGGTCAAGGTCAAAGGGGTACTGAAACGGAGGCGAAATCTTTTTATAATATAGAGAGATAATTAATTTTTTTTTTAAATTTAAACAATTAAGAAAAACTGATTGTTTAATAATTATTATACAACTGTGAAGTAATTTAAACAGAAGAAAGTGTAATGCATTATAAGAAAAACGTGTGTGTGTGTGTGTGTTTTTTTTTTAACGATAAAAATTAATTTTATGTTAATTTATAATCATAAACTAATTATTATTTTTCCAAGTGTCTCTTTATTTTAAATAACGATAATAGCTACAATGTTTATAGTTATAATTTAATATAAACACAATGACGAAATTTACATTAAAAAAAAAAAAAAAAAAAAAAAAAAAAAAATGGTACAATTAACTATTAGATTATTCCTCACATGTATGTAAATTTTAGTTTTGCTTTTTTTTTTTAATAATATATAAATGTAAGTAAAGTTATTTTATTTAAATTTTTTTTTTATTTTTTTTATAAATAATATTCATGGTCGGTTGCAATTAACAATATGTAAATTGACTTTTTACCGTTGAATGGAATAATACAAGTTTATCAGAATGTTGGTATTACTTATAATTATGCCGATATCACGCACTAATATTTCTTTATGTGTATAATAAATTAAAAATTCTATGATACAAAATCTATTATCTGTTTTACATACAATGTTTAGAGAAAATTAACATAAACTTATCATAATTCTGTCAACTTATCATTTATATTAATTGTCACATTTGTTACATTTTATTGTTTATAATTGACGAGAATATAATATAAAGAAATTTTATGACGAGTATAAATTAATTTTAGTAATTAAATTAACTTTTTTTTTTTAATTTTTGTTTTTTTGTACCGTTTTCTTTTTACTTTATATTATTGATTATTCATATTTTTTTTTGATAAAATATATATAATTTATATTTGTTAAATTAAAAATTTGTTTAAATTAAAATTTTTAAAACATTTCTATATAATAATATTAATAATAATGATAATAATAATAATAGTAATAATAATTTATTTTATTGTATGATTTTTATAAAGGTTTTTTACAATTTCCAATATATATAAAATTTTAAATTAGTATAATTTTATATAAAAATAAATTTATTATTATAGAAACGATATTAATTTAATAAAATATATTTTTTTATAATTATTTTTTATTAAATATCTATTCTAAGAATAAAATTAATTTTTATTTATTAACCTTTGTATAGAATTTTTAAACAAAATTTAAGTACTTTTAGAATTGTTGAAAAAAAAATTTATAATGAATTTTTTCATTAAGTGAAGAATAATTATATTGTTAAAGTCATTTTTTTTTTTTGGAAGATTAATTTCAAACTTATAATTCAGATCGAAAATGTCAATGTATAGCCAAATGACAGCCGGTTCACATCACATCTTTTTATAAAAATACTTGAATTCTTCCTTAACATTATAAAAAACAAATTCATGCGTGTAGAGTCAGTCTGTTGTTAGCTTCCGTGCATAAAAGTTTAAAAGAGGATTCTGTCGATTTTCATCCTTCAGAAAACAGGTTTATGTTTCACATATTTATATAGTTTTTCCGTTTTTTTTTGCATTCATCTAATTCATTTATTAATTAGATTTGATTTACTTTATTGTTTGTTAAAAAAATTTACAATTTATTATTAACAATTTTTTTGTTCTTTGTTTTGAAAATTATTATTTTTCTCTTTGAAAATTATATCAAATTTTTTTTTAAAAGTGTTTTTTTTCGTAATTTAAAAAAAAAAATTTGTTTTTAATTGAAATTTTTAAAATATATTTAATAATTGAGAATATAGTGAATGATTATGTTAATTATTTGCATTTCGCACAAGAGGGAAAGGAAGAAGTTTCATAAAGTCACCTTCACCTTTTTCTTTTCTTGTTTGATATTGATGATCGTGTTTTTTATTTGCCTAAATTTAGTCGTATCTTATTTTAATTTGTGGTTTTCGCAGAATCGTTAATTCTTTCTTTTTTATGGGTTTTATTTGTCGAGGCGAACGATTTAAATAGTGGAAAATTACCGCGTGTTTATTTTGTCGCAAAAAAAAAAAATGAAGAATAAGTTTGTTATCTTTCCTTTTATTGTTCGATTTATTCTTTAAATATTTCCTTATAGTTAAATTATTTTTGTCAATTAAAATTCTCTCTAATTTATTTGCCATTTATTTATCGTATTTTTCAGTGGCAAATAAATTAATAAAAAAAAAATTTTTATTATTTTCATTCTGCATGGGGAAAAAAATTATTTGATTCAAATGATCTTATTATTAAATATTTATTTGAAACAAATAATTTATAATTGAAGTTAATAAATTGTATTTGAACCAATAATTTCTGTATTTAAAACAAATACTTGTTTCTAAAATTTACCATCCTTTCCCACTTGGAAAGATTCCCCGGAAAGTGCCCCCTGGAGGTTCTATCAGAATTCCGCCGGAACTTCCAACGTAATTCCGTCGGAGTTCCAAAGAATTTCCGATGGGATTCCGACGGAATTAGGACTCTAAAAATTTTGGAAAAATTCCCCGGAAAGTGCCCCCTGGAGGTTCTATCAGAATTCCGCCGGAACTTCCAACGTAATTCCGTCGGAATTCCATCGGAGTTCCAAAGAATTTCCGATGAGATTCCGACGGAATTAGGACTCTAAAAATTTTGGAAAAATTCCCCGGAAAGTGCCCCCTAGAGGTTCTATCAGAATTCCGCCGGAACTTTTAACGTAATTCCGTCGGAATTCCATCGGAGTTCCAAAGAATTTCCGATGGTATTCCGACGGAATTCCGATTAATTTTTTCCAAAATTTTTAGAGTCCTAATTCCGTTGGAATCCCATCGGAAATTCTTTGGAACTCCGATGGAATTCCGACGGAATTACGTTGGAAGTTCCGGCGGAATTCTGATAGAACCTCCAGAGGGCACTATCCGGGGAATTTTTTCCAAGTGGGTTTAATTATTCTGATACTGAATTATTGGGTTTAAAATAAATTGTTATAACTACGATTTTTGTAATTAATTTTGAATATCAATTTTTTCCAAATTCGAATAATGAAATTTTTTTTTTTTTTTTTGCACAAAATAATAAAACAAATTTTTTAAAATCGGTTTAAAAGAACTTGAAAGTAGAAAAAAATTGATAGGCTTATAAAATCCTTTTTATTAGAAGAAAATCTTTATCTCACGATCATATGTAAAATATATAAAGCAGACTGAAATTAATTTGACGTAAGTCTGGAGTGTGACGTAGTTGATAGGAATATAATTATATTCCTGAATTTTTTTCATATATAGATGCATGCTGTGAGTTGACGGGGACACTTATTATCTGTAGTCGCTGAATCATTCATATATATTCTCGCGATATATAAAATATATTTCAAAAGAAGTCAAAAGAAAAATGCATCAAGATGAAATATCAACAAAAGCAACAACAACAACATCAATTGAAATTAATTTTCAAAATATTAGTTGTTCATTTAAAGAAAATTTTCTATCAAAAGAAAAATGTGTCCTTCAAGAGGTGAGTGGAAATTTTAAATGTGGCGAATTAACAGCAATAATGGGTCCATCGGGCGCTGGAAAATCAACACTACTCAATATTTTAACGGGATTTCAAAAAAATTTTCAAGGAAATTTAATCTATCAAAATGAAAATGGTGAAATGAGTTATAAAAATTTTAAAAAATATTCACGCTACATACAACAGGACGATGCACTCTATTCATTTTTTACTGTTAATGAAACAATAACAATGGCCGCCGAATTGAAATTAGAATGGAACATTAGTAGAAATGTGAAGAAAAAAATAATTGACGATATTCTTAGTTCTTTGGATTTAATAAAAACAAAAGATACACTTTGTGGTAGTTTAAGTGGAGGTGAAAGAAAACGTTTTAGTATTGCACTTGAAATGTTAAATGATCCATTGGTAATGTTTCTTGATGAGCCAACAACTGGATTGGATTCATCGGCAACAATGCAATGTTCAAAAGTATTGAAAAATCTTGCAAAAAATTCACGAACAATTGTTTGTACAATACATCAGCCAAGTTCAACAATTTATGAAATGTTTGATCATGTTTATTTTATTGCCGAGGGCCGATGCATTTATCAAGGTGATCCAATGATGATTGTCAATTATTTAAGTGATTTTGGTTTAAGATGTCCTAAATATCATAATCCAGCTGATTATGTAATGGAAGTGATGTGCAATGAATATGGTGATTTTAATTGTAAATTATCAATGGGACAAAATACAGAAATGAAAATGTTAACGTGGAGAAAGAAAAATTATATAAACAATATTAATAATGAGATGAAAAATAATAGTAGGGAAAAAATTGTTCGCACAATGAATTCACCATCGGAATTAATAAAAGCACGTGTATTATTATATCGTTGTTTATTAAGATTTTATAAAGATTGGCAAACAACATTTACACGTTTTATTATGTATTTAACGCTTGGTTTATTAATTGGTTTGACATGTTTTAATGTTGGTTTTAACGCTGATAGATTTCCCGCGAATCTTGGTATGATTACATTAGTTGGTATTGTGTCATTTTATTGTAGTTTATTGCCAGCTGTATTGAGATTTCCATTTGAATTGTTTATATTGAGAAAAGAGCATTTGAATGATTGGTATAAAATACGAACATATTATGTTGTATTTGTTATAACGAATCTTGTATTTCAAGCTGGTTTTGTTATTATATTTTCGAGTACTGTTTATGTATTGAGTAATCAGCCAATGGAATTATTTCGTTTTTTTATGTTTCACACGGTATTAATATTGTTTGCGTTTATTGGTGAAAGTTTAGGATTAATATTGGGTACATTATTTAAACCGGTAATGGGAATATTTGGTTGTATTGTTGTTGGTTCTTGGCAATTATCATTTTGTGGTTTTTTCATTTATTATAAAGATATGGCGCCGATAATTGAGAAAATAAGTCGTTTTATATTTACACGTTATGTAAGTGAGGGTGCACTCAATGGAATTTATAGTTATAATCGAAAAAAACTTGATTGTCCGAGTGATGTTATTTATTGTCATTTTCGTGATCCTATTATATTTTTACGTGAATTTGGTATTAATGAGCCAAAATTTATGACTGATGTTGTTGTATTAGCGAGTCATGCGGCATTTTTATTTCTTGTTGCATATTTTTTGTTGAAAAAAAAGGTATCGAGTGTTTGAATAGTTTTGTAAAGTTTCTTTTTTTTTTTTACTTGGTAATTATATGTAATTATTAATTGTAATTGTAATTGTACTGATAAGTATAGATAGTTTTCAATAAATTGTTAGTTTTTTTTATTATATTTACAAACGGTTCTCATTTTAATTAATTAACAATAATTAATTTGTAGTTCTTTTGTTTATAAAAATTTTCAAAGTGGCGGAAACAAATTTTTTTCTATATAGAAACATGTTATATGAGATCCCGATCAATTGTCCGGATGTATGTATGTGTGGATCCCTTTTTTGTTTAGACGATAACTTTAACAGCTTCACAGAAAATTAAAAGGCATTAAAATAAGCTGCAACGCTTATTATTTTAATCCAATTTTGCTTATTTTAATCCATTTTGGTATTAAAATAAGCAAAATTGGATTAAAATAATAAGCGTTGCAGCTTATTTTAATGTCTTTTAATTTTCTGTGTTTTAATGGATTTAGATAAAATTTGGTAGGCTCATTTATCATATTAATATCTCAAATATGACCAAAGGATTTTGAAAAATACCCCAAAAAAAAATTTTTACCGTCTTTTTTCCAAAATTTTTTTTTTAATCGAAAAAATTTTTAAATAGAAAAATTTAAGGTTTTATATAATAAAATCGTATTCCTTACATCAAGACAAATCGATTGGTATATATAAAGTATAGTTTCAATTTAAATTTAAAGAATTAATGAAAGTTAAAAAATCAAAAATTCACATTTTGGCTATAAAATTTTGTGATTTTTTAAATTGAAGTTTATAGATGAAATAATTGTATTCCTTACATGAAAACGAATCGATTGGTATATATAAAGTATACATTTGAGGTAAATTTAATAAATTAATGAAAGTTAAAAAAAATTCCTATTTTAGCTGAAAAATTTTGTATTTATTTAAATTCAAGTTTAAATATAAAATAATTTCCTTGCATTAAAACAAATCGATATAATTGTAAATAATTATAAATTATTTATTATTTTTCATTAATTTTTAGAAATTTCAGCTAAAATGTGAATTTTTGATTTTTTAACTTTCATTAATTCTTTAAATTTAACTCAAATTTATAGGTACTCAAATGTTTACATTATTATGTATTATTATTGTGTATATGTATTATTATGTAATGAACATCTGAATTTACAACTTGGTTAATTATATTTTAGTCTTCTTTGATTTCAAAAAACTTTTTTTACGAAGTTTTTTTATAGGTTTTTTTTTTTGTTTAAAAGAAAACAATATTCTATAAATAAATAATAATTTTTTACTTCGTTTTTTTTTAAAATCAATTAATTAAACTTGTTCTACAAAAAAATGAAATAAAAGGAAAAATATTTCGCATAAGGAAAGAAAGTGAAAGAAAAACAAGAGATGCAATCTTCAAAATAATTTATTAAAAATGTCGCATACTTGATATTCGAAGAATCGATAATATTTTAATACGTTAATAGTATAATCTTATTAGTAACTATGCGTGTCGTGTGAGCATGTCTGGTGATCTGTAAGTTAACATTTTTGGAGTACATTTTTTTGCACTCCCGATGAGAAGTTATTTTTATTCATTTTTTTTCATTACATTTTATCATTTTTCTTTTTTTCGTTTTCTTTTTTCTTTTTATTTTTCTTTTATTTTTCTTTTTTTTCTTTTTTTTCTTTTTTTCGCAGTTGAAAGAAACAATGATATTTATGTAGAACACAGAATTTTCAATCAAGTACTTTTTTTTTTTTATTTCTCTTCAAATCATTTACGCACACAAATTCACATTTTGGAACATGTTTATTATTATATACTACGAAATTTCCAAATTACAATAATATTCTATTAAATATTCGATAAATCCTATACAAATCGGGATGAATTTCCAAAAAGTATCGACCCTGTTACATTGATTTTTGTTTAATGTGTGTGTCAATAGCATATTTAGAAAAATATCCTGCATTTTTCAAAAAATGGAACAATATCGATTAAATTTCTCCCCATAATTATATATTTATTTATAATATTTACATTGTTGAAAGAAAAAAAAAATTAATACACGGCATTTTTTGTTTTTTATACATGAAAGTAAATTTTAATTATTTATTACAATTTTTTTTTTGGGGGGAAAAAAAGTGAAATTACATCATTATAATAATTAATATATATATAAACAGTTATTTTTTTTTAAAGCTTCAATATTTTTTTCCCCTTATTACTAATATTAAACTACATTTCAGTTTTTCAAAAAAATTTCCCCCTAAAATTGTAAAATTACATATTTTTTTTTTATGTAAAATTACTTAAATTGAAAGAGTATTTTTTCAGGTAAAGGAAAATTTACCACAAAGGGTTTTTTTTTCTTGTGGGGTATAAAAAAAGTGCTGGAGGTAATAAAATTTTTTTTTGGAATTTTGTTTCTAAAACAGTGGGAGAAAATAATTTTAATATTAATTATTTTCTCAAATAGAAATTTAATAATTTTTTGTCGGAAAAATCGAATTTTTGTAGGTGAAAAAAAAAATGTGCGCGATTTTTTTTTTTCGTATAAATTATTTTTTTTTTTTTTGCTTCTTGTGATCATAATTTGTTAAGTATGCGTTTGTGCTGCCTGTGTTATTGTCAGTTTTCGCCTGACCTCGCTTCTAACAACACAATCCAGTTGGTTTCGTTAAAACAATACATCATCCGCTTCTCGCCCTGGTGGTTGCAATTAATTTTAACTTTTTTTTTTTTTTTGTATTTGTCATTCTCGAGCTCAAAAAAAGCGGAGTTTCTTTTTTTCTCATTTTTTTTCCGAGGGGGAAGTTGAGGAACGAAATGTGAAATGATAACAAGAAAAATTTGTATTGTACATTGCACGGCTGATTAATTCATTGTGACATTAATTATCCGTGGATATTGTATATTATGGGAATAAAAACATCCTTATTTACATATTCCTCTTAATCGGAACAAATACGAATATCATTAACAATAATAATGAGATTCGTCTACAAAATACTAGACACTCGGGCTATTTATGAATATTGTTTCTTCATTTTTTTTTTTTTTTTCTTTTTCAAAGAAAAATAAATATTAATATATTACGTTTTATAGAAAGAAATGTAATCGAAAAAAAATGTTATCAGAAAAAAAAACGCTAATTAATAATATAACACTTATGTAACATACTTCATTTAACTGATAAAAAAAAATTTTTTTTTTTTCCTCTTGATAATAATTTTTGAACACTTATTCTCGTTAAATAATTATTATTTTATTTTTATTAATTTTCCGACGTTTTTTTTTATTTTGAAAACTAAAATTGCGTGAATTAATTATAAAGCGTATTAGTCGGCAGTCTTTGGAAGAGTTTGGAACTCACAAGATAAAAGATGATTTATCTATAATATATTTATAATTTTTTGTAACGATTGTTTTTCTATTATTTATATAACTATAATGTAATTCAGTCAGTGAGTTCTAAACTTTCTTTTAAACTAAATTTTTCCTATTTAAGTACAAAACTACAAATCGAAGCGCAGTCACTCAATTTATTTTTCTTTTGCAATATTGATATTCATTTTTATCGCTGCTCTGTTATTAATACAATAAAAAAATGTTCGAGGGACAAAAAGAAAAAATTAAAATTAGGTATTTGAAAATTATTTAAATTAATTAAAATTAATTTTGAAACATCGATTTTTGACAAATTCTTGACTTAATAAATAAATTTATCAGATTTGATAAATATGATTATTAGCTATAATTAAATTAATAAATTACTCTATAAATTTGAATTAGTGAAAAGTTAGCTACTAATTTAAATTAGTAAGAATTTTAACTAATCTTTAGTCACTTTTTACTAAAATTTTAGTAAAAAAAATTTAAAACTACTAATTCAAATAGTAATATTTTACTAAAAATTAGTAAAAATTCTTATCAATGTGAATTAGTAGCTCACTTTTCACTAATTCAAATTTAGAGAATATATTTGTTATTTATATTAATGGAATATAAATATTATTGAACTCTCTTTTCTGAATTAGTAAAAATGTTTACTAATTTGAATAAGTGACTCACTTTTTGCTTCTAAATTAGTAAAATTTTACTAATTATTAGTAACTTTTACTAACAATTAGTAAAATTTTACTATTTCTAAATAGTTACTATTATTAGTAACTTTTACTAACAATTAGTAAAATTTAACTATTTATAAAGCAAAAAGTGAGTCACTTATTCAAATTAGTAAACATTTTTACTAATTCAGAAAAGAGAGTTCAATAATATTTATATTCCATTAATATAAATAACAAATATATTCTCTAAATTTGAATTAGTGAAAAGTGAGCTACTAATTCACATTGATAAGAATTTTTACTAATTTTTAGTAAAATATTACTATTTGAATTAGTAGTTTTAAATTTTTTTTACTAAAATTTTAGTAAAAAGTGACTAAAGATTAGTTAAAATTCTTACTAATTTAAATTAGTAGCTCACTTTTCACTAATTCAAATTTAGAGAGCAGTTATAATTATAATTCATAATTGAGTTGTTGTATAATTATAATAATTAATGTAATATAATTAATAATATAATTGAAAAATTGAAATAATTTAATTATATATATACATTATAGTTGGCAAATTTAATTTAGTTCTTTTTTTTCATTAAATTTTCAAAATTTCTTATTTTTCTTTTTTCAACTGTTGTGTTGAAAATTTTTGTAATTTTCAAATCGCACCCCTTTGAAATTATAACATAATTGAATTTTCGAAGTTTCAACGCATTCGTAGATATGATTTTAAATACAATAATCCCATAGTTATATATTAATTATTATATAATAGTTTCAACATTCTACAATTTTTTCAAAGTCATATACATAGTTGGCTATATTTACATGTTCATCACGGGGATCACGTTATCGTAAATCAATTTTTATTACATTTTTTTTTTATCTTTTAGTTTCATTAAAACAATGACTATAGTTCATAATCAATAATTTGCATTTGCAAATTATAACAATCTTCTTTTTTTTTCTTTTGTTTTGTATCTTTGCGCATATCTTAAAAAGATGAGTTACTTCGTATAAGTTTTTTTTTTTTTAAAATTAATCATAAAATATATTGTAAGTTCAGTGTA